AAAGGATAGGACCATTCCGCAGTGTAAAAGGTGTCAAAGGTATGGTCATACACAAAAATTTTGCCAGAGAGAACCGAATTGTGTTAAATGTGCAGGCAGGCACTTAACATCAGATTGTAGTAAGCCAAAGAGTACTGCAGCAAAGTGTTCAAATTGCTTGGAGGCCCACCCAGCAAACTATAGGCGATGCCTTACAGCTAAGAAACTAAAAAACGTAGAAAGAGGAACAACAACAACAACTTGAAGAATTCTGAACGGCCACCGAGGCAATTCACCTCGAGAATAGTCTCAAAAGATGTAACTTATAAGGACGTTCTCCAAACGAAAACTGATGGCAGTGGCACGAGCAATAAAGCACGGGCCAGTGACGTGAATGTTTTGTATAAAATGAAAAATATGATGCAGAACATGCTAGATATGATGGACAAAATCTCTCAGAGATTGAGCATTTTAGAGAACGAAGGGAAAAAATCGAGTACCAAAAGGCTTGGTAAATGATGGCACGAGGTAATTTTAAAAAAGCAACATGGAATTGCAATGGTATTGCAAATAAAAGGGACATGCTTGAAGTTTTTCTTCATACACAGAATATAGACGTGTGCCTCGTAACTGAAACACATATGACCTCAAGAAGCAGGATTCGGTTTCTAGGTTATAGAATTTACAACTCGGACCACCCTGCAAATATAGCGAAGGGCGGAACGGCGATAATAATAAAAGAAAATGTGGTGCATTGCGATCTGCACCAGATGCAAACCTAGGGAATGCAAATGACAGCGGTTCAGATCACTTCGACTAAGCAAAAATTTAGAGTGGTTGCATTGTATTGTCACCCCAAATTTAAAATTACGGCAGAAATGTTTCAAGGCGTTCTGACAGACCTAGGCGATAGATTTATATTGCGGGGTGACTTTAACGCCAAGCAAACTGATTGGGGTTCAAGGCATACCTCAACTAGAGGAAGAGAACTTAGGATAGCAATTGGCGGCACGGGGTGCCTTTTTCACTCTACTGCGAAGCCAACGTATTGGCCAAACGATGTTAATAAGTGTCCAGATTTAATAGATTTCTTCATAACAAAACGGATTGCGAAAAATTTCAACGAGGTACATGATAACTATGATCTTGACTCCGATCATTTGGTGGTTATTCTTGAACTTAAGGAAAATATAGTTATGAAAAGAGCGAAACCTGCGCTGACAAATGGAACTACAGATTGCTCAAGATTTCGCTTAGAGGTTGAACGACAAATAGACCTAAGGAAAAGAATAAGAACGACCCAGCACATAGATGTGGAGGCCGAAAACTTTACTAAAATTATTCAAAATGCGGTTTGGACTAGTTCCAAAATTAGTGCTATTAGAAGGGGGGGCATTAACTATCCCCCACATATACTAGCAAAAGTAAGACGAAGCAGGCGGTCGAGAAAGAAGTGGCAGCAAACGCGTGATCGTACTGATAAAACCAGATATAATCGTGAATCGCAGCAACTAAGACGTTGTATTAGAAAACACAAATAGGATTCGGTTGCTAATTATGTTCAAAATTTGACGGCGTAGGAGAAAACCAATTACTCACAGTGGAGGGCAAAAAGGGACCAGCATTTGACCTAATAACGGCCGATAGTTTGAAAGAATTACCCAAAAGGGATATAACGATGCTTACGCGCCTAATAAATGAGTGTATAAGGTTTAATTACGTGCCTGAAATTTGGAAAGTTGCAGAGATAATCATGCTGCACAAACCTGGCAAACCTATAGACAGGGCGACTTCTTATAGACCAATCTCATTGTTGTCTATTATTTCAAAACTGCTAGAGAAACTTTTATTGAGAAGACTTCAGCCTATAATTTAAAGTAAAAGGTTAATCCCGAATCATCAATTTTGTTTTCGCCGGAACCACTCAACCGTAGATCAGATTCATAGAATAACTGACCTAATACGTAGAAAATTCACTGGAAGAAAAAACAATATGTTCTAACATATTTTTGGACGTAGCCTAGACCTTCGATAAGGTTTGGCATTGTGGATTAATAAAAAAACTTAGGCGATTATTACCAAGGCAGTATGTTGACCTGCTCGAATCTTACCTGACTAATAGGGTATTTCGAGTTAAACAGGAAGAGAAGTACTTTTCGCTTAGGGATATCAGGTCGGGGGTACCACAGGGGAGTATATTGGGCCCGATACTATACTTGTTATATACGTGTGATATTCCTGAATCGGAAGGAGTGACAACAGCTACATTTGCTGACGATACAGCAGTTATCGCAATAGGACGAAATGAAAATGAATCTACACAAAAATTGCAAAGGGCCAGTGATGAGATCTCAAAATGGACTAGAAAGTGGAATATAAAACTTAACGAGGTGAAATCCGTACACGTAAATTTCACTAATAGGAAAATTGAAAATTCATTTTCGGTTCGAATAAATGGCTTCTTGATTCCGTCCGCAAACACGGCGATGTATTTGGGAATGACGTAGGACGCGAAGCTCAGATGGAAGGAGCACATAAAGAAAAAGAGATCTCAACTAGAAGAGGAATACAGAAAGTTTGAATGTCTTTTGGGGAGGCGTTCCAAATTGACAATATACAACAAAGTTTTGATATATAATCAAATATTTAAGCCTGTCTGGGCTTACAGTATTCAGTTATGGGGCTGCGCTATACAAAGATTTCAAAATAGAGTATTACGGGACATTGTAAACGCCCCTTGGTATGTCCGTAATGCCGATATACACAGGGATCTCACGATCCTAAGTGTCACAGACGAAATTAAAAAGCAAGCAGCCAATCATAAAATGCGTTTATCCAATCATGTCGATATCGAGGCGGATCGATTGGTTGACAATCAAAACTTTGTTAGGAGACAATGAGTACTTAGTACGCTAGTGTGCCAGATCAAAAGCTTGTAAATAATCAAAAAGGTTACAGCAAAATTAATGGTTAGTCGTTCCCGGCTAGTTTTATAGTTTATTTTGATGAGGATGTTTTTTAGTGGATTAAAGTTCCACACTACTGTTTTTCGTCTGGCAGAGTCTTTCGAGATTTTTCACACTTCCTCTCGGTAAAAAAAAAACAAAAAATGTTAACTTACAAGCCCGAAAACAGCGTTTAGCTATTAAATTTTAAATCATTATTAACATTTCAAGTCAAGTAAGCGGCTTGGGTGAAATCGGCTTCAATTCAAGTAACGTTTATATAGACATAATAAGAGCTTGAAACAGCCATATAAACGGAGTACACACATATTACTACATCATATTGTGTACCTATCTCGAATAAGTATGTACTGTATAACAAAGTACTCGTATGAAATTTTAAATTTTTAACTATTGCTTTTATACATTCTTATGTTATTACCTAACTTTATTACTAACTAATGGAACGAGTCGAACTTATTCTTGGCTCGATATACTTTGCTTTCCAGTAATTGATTACCAAATTTCTATTGCTGTGCCCCAAAAGCTTTAATATCAGTTTGCTATCATAATTTCTTTATATCTAACAAGTCCGAATACTCATTTTTTTTACGAAGTATTCCCATTTGTTGCTTTCGTTTCTGTTTTTTTGTTTAAATTCCATTGATCGTGACACATTTCGTATTATTTTTTTTTTGCGTAAAAACGAGTTTATTATTTCAAAAAATTTCAGGATATTAAACACAATTTTAAAAAGCTTGCCACTTAGATTCTATTCAACGAAAAAAAAGAAAGGTAGGAAGAAGAAAAAATTAATATTTTTTTCAAATTCATATTTCAGTGTGGTTTCAAATGTTAATGAGGAAGGAAGGGTGTATGATTTTTCATATATATTTTTTGTATTTCTCAATAAGGTAAGTTGAGTAGTGTCGTTAAAAATGTTAATAAAAATAATATAATGTGATACATTTCAACAACTTCAGTTATTATCTCATTTCGGTTATTTAAAACATACAGAATTGTTTCAGATGATTTATTAAGTTAATAAATACGTATGTACCTGCTTCCAAAAAATTTCATTTGTACATAATTATTTGAAAACTGTTTAAAACATGTTATATTTTGTGCTTGTGAAATTTATCTCTGCTCTTCTTTCATATTTTATTAGCCGGAAAACAAGAATAATTTATTTATAAAATGGCCTTGTCGATGTATAAATGGACTGTCTTCATAGTATTCGCAAACGGAAAAAAATTTACATAAGTACCTACTACCTGTCGGGATTTTTGAGTCATTTGCTGAGGTGCTATTTATTTCAAAAATAAAAAAATTTAAATCCGGTCATAATAATATATGGTTATCTTCTCCAAAACATTTTAAAATTTTTTTTATTTGGGTAATTGATATACTAAGCCTTTAAAATTTTTCTCAAATAAAAATTGAGATAAAATTTTAAAGTGTATATAAAATTTGTATTGGTAAATTGGACACACCTTTGCAAAGTTTTGTATTAATATCTCTATTAGTTCTTTATTATTGAAATATTTCCAAAAACCTCTTTGAGTTGTATGGCAACTACCCGAACCCGTTGTCCAAATTGATCATCTTTCCTTGGCAGAAAAGAAAAACTTGTGAAAGTTTGGTGTCGATTGCATTATTGGTTTTTGAGTTATCGTGCGATCGGATGGACGGACTTGTCTAAATCAACTCAGAATTTTACGCTAAGCCAGAATATATATACATTTCCACATCGGAGACGACTCCTTCAAGTGGTTACAAACCCTATACCCTTCACGAAGGTGCAGAGTATAAAAAATTATGTCGTATATGAATATCGTATATAAAATTATGTCGCTTGTATAAAAAAAAATCATTTTATAGTTAACAGATTTTTAAAGAAATTATACTTAATTTTAAATATTTATCTAAAAAAGAGTATTGACTGCACTGCAGACAAATTTTATTAATTAGGTATTGCAAACTTTTTCCTTTATCAGCCGTCAACAACGTAATTGTGCCCCAAAAAAATATATTTATGACTAATTGGAATGTATATTATTATAAAACCAATCTTACTTTCTAAATAAGCAGCAAGATCGAGGGCATTTGCATTAAATGCAACCATCATTGGTGTAAATCCTTCAAAGTTCCTTATTGATAAAGACGCTCCAGCAGCTACTAGCATTATGGTTATATCACGATAATTGTGTCCTGCAGCTAAATGTAATGATGTTTCACCCCTAAAAATAATGAAAAATTTTTGAAAAAAAGGTGAAAACTATAGAAGGCGATAATATATAAATTCAAAAATGTTACATGACATATATATAAATCTGAGAAAATTGAGAAAGTTTCAAATTACATACTAGTAAGTTTTAAAAATATGAACATGAAAACATTCTAATTTCAGCTAAAATATAATTTTGTTTGGTTGGAATTAATTCTGAAAATATTCAAAACACTTTGACTTTATTGACTTCCAAATACTTTTTATGATTTTAAGTTATGTTACGTTATTTTTGTCATAACACGGTGAAGATTCCTTGATTCTTTGATGTATGTATATGTAGCAATCATGACATCGTCTTCACTTAAGCTATTACTAGATAAGTTTACTAAAATTACTCTTACAATTTCTTAGAGTAAAATGTTCATCACATACATAGTTTAGAACTAGTGAGCTGTTTGGGATTAGATGTCTTCTTGGTGCAGTTAAGGAATATTATTAAATGTAGAATTATAACGTTTTCCAGGTAAATTGGCTGATATCATCAGTCACATAAGAATTTATGTATAAAATTATTTGAGGGCAAATAAGTTTTGACTCACATTGCTAATTTTTCAAATTTTTTCTACGAAAAACAATAAATATCATCACATACATAGTTTAGAACTTGTGAGCTGTTTGGGATTAGATGTCTTCTTGGTGCAGTTAAGGAATATTATTAAATGTAGAATTATAACATTTTCCAGGTAAATTGGCTGATATCATCAGTCACATAAGAATTTATGTATAAAATTTTTTGAGGGCAAATAAGTTTTGACTCACATTGCTAATTTTTCAAATTTTTTCTACGAAAAACAATAAAAATAGATTAAATTTTCTTCCTCCTGATAATATGGTGTTTTGCATCAAAGTTTTGCACAGGAATTTGAATCATGAAATATCTTGCCGTGTCACCTTACAAAATACCAACATTTAAAATTACTTTTTGTGCTAATTTTTTGCTAAAACTTTTAAATTAAATCATTGATAAGGTTTAATTTATGATTAATCATGTAAATAAGATTATAAAAGCTCATATTTATGTTAGCAGAACATTGAAATAGTTTTTCAAAAGGTCTTGTTTTGCAGTTACGGAAAAAAGCATGGTTTATAATGAGATTGTTATAGCTGACTGTTGATATAACTGTATTTCCAAAACAGTTATATTATACAATTAACTTAATTTTTTGCAAATGCACTGCTGATTTTACATTAAAATAGTTAACTTTTTGCACATTGTTTTAAAACATGAAACTCTGCAGCAAAATACTTCTGTATTTCATAAAAATAATAAAAATATTTCTTAAAACGTGTTTTAAATTCTTAAAGTATATAAATCTCTAATTTTTTAATGTAAGGAGTTGTAGATTTTGTAGATTTGTAGATTTGTGCGCCCCCATCCGAGTGTGGGGCATGCCCTACAACACACGCTCGAGACCCACCCTACTGATGAGTTCAAGCAACTTGTGAGGACCAGAAGACCGTAACTCTGCCACCGTTAGAGCAAAGCCTCCCAGAACCTCCCCCCTCCTACGAGCAAGAGCATCACACTACCCCAGGAGGTGCACTGAGGTCTCTCCATACTCCCCAGAGAATCTGCAAGTATCCTCATTTTCCAGGCCCAGCTGACTGAGGTGTCCCCTAAGCCTGCAGTGACCCGTCAAAATGCAGGTGAGGACCCTCACCTGATTCTTGCCCATCCCTATAATTTTCTTAAATCGCTTCTGGTCATAATCTCCCAGGAGCATTTTGGCTTGCCGCAGCCCCGGAAGACTTCTCCAGCGCTCCGACCGCCTTCTTTCTGATTCCTTTCTTAATTCCCAACGAATAGTATGTGGTCCAATCCCGCAGAAGGGCTCCGGCCCAAGAAGAGGTGTGCTTGCCCCCTTCCTCGCAAGCGCATCAGCGGCCTCATTTCCTTCCACACCCACATGGCCCGGCACCCAACACAGTTCGGAGAATTGGGTCCTTGGCCCAAATACCCCCGCACCCGTCCCAATACTTGGCTTTGACCTATCTGCGTACCATCTAACAACGTGTGTTCCAATTGGGAGGCCCGAAAAGTCACGCTCCCAGTCTCTTCTGTTACTCAGCAACGAGGCAAAATTTTTCTCGAAGCTGTAGCTCCTTACCATGTCGTCCCTAGGCATCGATAAAAGCGGAACCTCCCCGACAAGACGACCGCGGTCTCTCACACCGATTATTCCGGCTCCATTTCTCTCCAACCTGAAAATGGCAGCCTTCGCTGCCATCTCCACAACAAGGTGCAAGGGGGTTAGTCCCAAAATCACCTCCATTGCCGCCGTTGGACAAGTTCTCATAGGCCCTGTGATGCAGACCCATGCGAGTCTCTGCAATCGTTCTAGGTTCCTTCTAGCCGTACCAAGAGCCACCCTTCTTGCCCATGCCACTGCTCCATAAGTTAGGAGCGGCACGACCATCATGGTATACATCCACCACATGACAGACGGGGAGCAGCCCCACGACCTGCCCAACTGTATTGCATCAGGTCCGGGCCACTCGTAATCCGCTTTGGACTATATCACAAAGAGTTCGGCATAAGCCTGGACACCGATTCCCTGACGAAGCAGCTCATCAAGGAGTTCATCCACGACCAAACTCCACATTATCGGGGACAGAACCCCACCCTGTGGACATCCCCTGGCCACGCGCATTCTTAGGGGCTCTGCCCCACAGCAGTCTATGCTACCCTCGTAGCCAACATATTGGACATCCATAGAGAGGTGCCATCATCCACGTCTCTACGCTTCAGGGCGCCCGCAATCGCCTCATGAGAAGTGTTGTCGAAGGCCCCCTCGATGTCCAGAAACGCGCATAGCGCCAGCTCTCCCTGTTCTATTGTGCTTTCTAGGGTACTGGCAAGGCGAAACAGAGCAGTCTCTGTTGACCTCCCCGCCCAATACGCATGCTGGCAATCGCTCAGCGGCCTCCTCGCCAGCACCCCCACCCGGACATGGTTATCAATTATTTTCTCCATCGTCTTCAATAAGAACGAAATGAGGCTAATCGGTCTGAATAACTTTGGCACCATGTCCCTTCTTCCCACTTTGGGAATAAAGACAACCCTAGCCACCCGCCAGGACTCGGGAATGTATCCGAGAGCCAAGCTACTTCTAAATATTCTTATTAAGAAAGGCATAATTGGCTCCAGCCCGCGTTGCAGAAGTGCTGGTAAAATTCCATAATGTAAGGAATTAGAGTATGTATGTATATAGAGAAATTTAATCAAAATTAATTTAAAATACTTATTAAAGTTATGTCATAGATGTTATAAATATTTGTTCAAATGTATGTAAATATATGTGCTATATATGTATCTTTAAATGCTCACTTTATGTTGTCTACCATGTTGATTAAAGATCTTGACGCATAAGTAATTAGAAATTTTACTATATTTTTATTATTAAATCGAGTTCCATAATGCAAAGAAGTTTGACCATTTTGGTCAATAGACAGCAAAGAATATCCCTGTTCATATAAAGCTTGAAGCTGTAAAAATATTTCAATAAGTAATATATAACCACAATTAAAAATAAAACTACAGTATCAAATTACACTAAAATTACAAAACAAGCATACTGTTTTAAGTTATGTTAAAAATGTTGCTTCTATTCCTATGTAAAGTGCTAACCTAATAAACGTAATATGTATACGAGTATATAATATAATTGTTCTTGAATTCATTTACCTAATCTTGCGAAATTAAACACGTATTTTTGGTATGTATAAGTTTTTTAAGTTAATAATTTAAATTTTTTCAAGAGTGAAATTTGGAATGAATGCTTGGAAGCTTTCTTGGATGGTATATTTCTAGCTTACCAAAACCGATAAAGAATCAGGTATTTTGTATTTAATTATAACACTTTTTGGTAGGTACCAACTTTAAAAAATTTTCTTTGCAAAGTAGTGTATGATAATTTTATTCTTACATCGATTACATTTCTTCTGAAAAATGCTCGCCTTGTGCCTTATTTATAGAGGAGTACTTGAATTTTTAAATTTTAAATGCGATATATAATTTAAAAATATATATATTATCGTAAGTCGTATTTAAAAAATTTAAAAATCTTAATTTGATGTTTTGAACAAAAAATTTGGGAAAGCCTGCTGTTTCGGATATATAAAGTACCAAACATTCAAATTTTACAAATTTCTAGCGGCATGACTTGAGAGGGGGTGGAGATAGAAAAAAATTTTTCCTAGAAAAATATACTATTAATCAGTGTCTAAAAGTTACTGAAATTTCAGACTCTCACAGTCAGCAGTCTAGAAGAAAAACGATATCAAAAATTTGGAAGAAACGGATTTTAGATAAAAGTAAATTTTGACGGCTATTTTGTTGTTTTAAAATTCAAATATGGTATGCTGCGATAAAAGAAGCCTCTCACTATCTTTCTGCGTTTGCAGAATTTAAAAGTTGTTAAAAAAAGCGGACACACCGCCCGTCTCTCCGTGTACGGACGGACGGACAGACTGAAACTAATAAGTACTTTTTTTAATTTTTTGGAAAAGTGCTTAAAATGGGGAACACCTCCACAAACATTTATGTTAAAGAAAGACTTTACTTTTAATTATCGCTCTTTTCCAAGTTGCATTTTTGTATTATTTGTTATAAGAGAGCAATTTTACGAAAGAAAATTTGTACAATCAAACTACTTTGTAATACATACATATACATTACTCGTATAATACGTATTGTTTACTTTGAGTTGCTTTGAGTTTGCATGTTTGATGAACTATATTTTCAAAAGATATAGTTCATTATCAAATTAAAATCAAAAGGTCTTTCGATTTTAGTGCGCTAATACACAAATATTATGAGTAGAATTTCCTAAGTTTTATTGTACCAAAATATAACTTAATAGTGTATAAGCAGGTAATAACTTAATAGTGTATAAGCAGTGTAAAATTATAAATAAAATTTATAATTTTGCAAGAAAAGGTTTATTAATTATAATAATTTATTAGCAATATAAATTGGAAATAAATTTTATAATTTATTTTGAAATAAAGACGAGTAACCGAGACATAATAAAGAAAAATAATCTCTAACTATAATTTTTTCAGACGATTCTCAAGTACACATGAAAGTTCTCAAGTTATATTTTTTATATATTCTGTGGGAAAATTTTTTATCTTTTGATGCCCACACTTTTTGCAGCGCCCTAGAAATTGTTGCACTTTTAAGAAAAAAAAATAAAAATAAAATTAAAGCACTCTAAATACAAAAGCAAATTTATTTTTCAAGCGATGAGAAATACTTAAGTATGATTTAGCAAATCAGGTATGATAAAATTAACTTTTAACCTTATATTTTGAATTAACTACATAAAATATAATGTACCGTTTGAACATCTCCTCTTTGTGCTGCTATTAACACGGCATCTGTAGTTTTTTCAAGCAGGCAACTAAGAGTTAGTAACGTAACAAAAAAGAGAAAAAAGATGTACATAAATTTTTAGTTGTAAATTCAGTTATGAATTGAATTCACGAATTAAAAGTAAATAGTACAATATTACGACAAAATGAAAAAGAAGAACAAGTGTTAAAATGTATTAAAAATGTTCCTTCATATTTCATATTTGATAGAAAGTTTTATTTTAAAAATTTAAAATCTTCCAAAGTTCTAAACAGATTATTATTATCAATGATTGAAAGTTCTTGAAATTTTTTTTTTTTGTTCTTTAAGAACGGTACATCTGTAGTTTCAGTCGTGTGTCTATGTAGACGATTCGTAAATATGCAGACGATTTCGCACTTTTTATGGAGTATATAACCTTTATAAAGTATCTTATCCACCCATTCATCCATTTAGAGGTTGAGAATTTTCGTGTTGTGCATCGATATTTTGCTTTTGTGCTCATCAGTGAATGCAAAAAAAAATTTACATGCAATTGAATTTTAAAGACGCCAAATGTTTTTTTAAAGTCCCATAGCTTGAAAATGCTTAAAAAATATAGAATATACATTTTTTTTTAAATTTATAGTTCCTCTAAATTGAGGAATTATACTTGTGATATATGTACATATGTACACGAAACGCAACGAAATTTTTTTTTGTGTTCATAGATGTGCATAGATTTTAGCTAATATTTTATATTTGTTTTTCGGTGATATATTGGAACTCAATGTACGGTTTTTTTTGTTTACTGTTTCCCCCATATGCGAGAAAGTGTGGATTTAGACATATCTATAAATTTTTCAACGACATATAGAATAAGGCCTATTTAGTAAGAAATTTCACGCACATATTTTTGCATGGTATAAGATTAAACTGTATCAGCCGTTCCTTTCATTGTTTCGGCAGTTGAAAAATGACGGCCAACTGTTTTTCATACCGTACCAATTTTATAGCAATTTTTTAGCAAACATTTTTAAATTATAATAATTAGCCTTTACATGATTTGTGGATAGGGCCGTTATTTAACGTTTTACAATTCTTTAAATATACACTAAAAGTGTATACACATACAGTGCTTTTTGCAGCGTACAATTTTATGTGTATACAATTGGAGCATAAATTTTATTGTTCCAACAAAATATGTATATATGTTTATTACAACTACATATATACATTATTAATGAGTCTATACTTTTCATCTTATGTAGTAGACAAGGATACAAAAATATTGATAACGCTCATGTTATTATGCTTACACATACATATGTTCCATCGGTCATTTAGATAAATAGATGGAAGATATAATTACGTATTTGTATGACGTTGACATTTTGTGGTATGATTGAAAACCTGTCGAATTATGATAACGGAAACAAACTCCTCTTATCGCGTTATGAATTTTTTATTCAATATTAGTGAAAACTGTACATATGCATGTTTTTTTTACATCTTCACTTCTAGGAGCAGTATAGGGCAAGTGCATGATATCATAGATAGCATGTAGTTGCCGTAGTTTTCTCTTTATATTAAATATTTGAGGTATTGTTTATTTTTCTTAGCTTTTAACATCGAATACGATTATTATGAATATATGGAAAATTACTTGTATACTATTTTTTTATTTTCTAAGTAGTGCATACTAAGTTATAATATTGAATATAATTTTTATAGTGACCTGGCTGGGGTATTTAACCGAAACCCTTCGGGAAAAGTATCGGTTCCATAACCACTGCAACAATGGTCAGGTACATAGACATGTACTTATTATATATAATGGTAATACAGTACAAAATAAACCACATTCACACTAGCAAATAAAAAGAAATAATGGATTTAGAAATTATCAATTTAAAAATATTTTTAACGAAATTTTGGGAATTAAGAAGACAAAATTTTACATATCTACGAGTACATACTCGTATGTATGTTCGAAAATTTGCACTGCAAAATGTTTTATTTATTAAATATTATTTTTTAGATCTTTTAATACTAAGTTGATAAAATATTAAATATGTATGTACTTATAAATTTTTTTTATCATGTATCATGAATTTATTGCTGCACCGATGCCATATATATCTATCAGGCTATCAAGCTCATAGAGCAACTCAAAAATAAATTCCAAATTTCTATAGAGTTTAAATGGAAGCGGTGTCGGAATTTATTTGTGTGATGGAAATTGATCAATATTTTTGGCTCTACTGATTCTAAATATTTATTAAAATTTAAAATTTAAATTTCATAAAAATCGGTTGCTAAATTCCACCTGAAAAGTGCATTAAAAAAAAAAATACGATTTTTAGCGCAGACAACCTTTCTTGTCTTCCAATGGAATAACATTGTACATATATCTATCAGGCCTCCAAGCTGAAAATACTTTCCGAAATTTTGTATCGGAAAAAAATACAAAAACATTTCTTAAATGTTTTATGTTTTCGAATTTTTTTTTTGTGAAATTTTATTGAATTTCGTTTATTAAAGTATTTTTGCTAGAAAATGAAAAACTTTAATACATATTATTTGCTTATTAATATCACTTTTTCTGTTGACATATTACCGACTGTGTCTAAATTTGCTAAAAGTCAAACCCTCCATCTATTTATTTTATTGATCGAAGTATGCTCCCATTTTGGGTATATGGTATAACTTTAGGTACTAGTATTTTAAAAAATTGTATAGGTATGTTACATGTGCATAATATTATTACAAGTAATAGATTCCAAATTTTTTTAAATTCAAAATTAATAAGCAATTTATGTCACAAATTTATATTGGAACTTCTTTGCAGAAAATTTTTCAATAATTTTATTCAGAGATCAGAATGCACATGTTTAATTATTTCTCCAAAATATACAACATATGTACATAGATATTTATGTATGTATAAAATAATAAAAATTTTGTCAAAATAGTATAACATTAGGTCTATCTAGTATAAAATCTTTAAAAATAAAAAAGAATGACGTAATTTCTCGCAAAAAGAAAAAATAAACCAGACGAAAAAATTGAAAAAACTCTTAAAACTTTATAAATATGTAGATAATAAACGTCCAATTTCAAAATATTTATAAAACCTATACTGCATATAACATGTAAGTAAAGATTTTTTGGTTGTACGTTACAAAAAATCGAAATGAATTATAAGAGAATGAAACTTAGAAAAAACCATTTGTGGACTCATTTTGCTTATTTTATTCTATTTTTAATTAAAAATATTGAAAAATAATAATTGAAAAAAATTAAGAGAAAAAGTATAAAAACAATAATTGAAAAAAAATTTATTGTTAATGAAAAAAATGTTTTTGAAAAAAAAAAATGTCCTGACATAACCAAGAAAAGTATGTATGTTTTGAGAGCTTTAGGATTTTAAAAGTTTTTAAAACACTAAATTTTACTTTACAAAACTTGAAAAACTTCAAATATTGAGAAAATTAAAATGTCATGATTTTCTCTTATTTTTTCTCAAAAAGTATTATACCCAGGCGCTTTGCAAACAAAAACTTTATAAAGTTTTTTCAAGTTTTATAAATTTTTAAAAATTTTCATACATGTACCAGACAAACCTATTCTGTTTATGCTTTTTTTTAAAAATATGCATACGTACATATTCACATATATAAAATTAGAATTGAAAACATGTACATACAAAAATCGAAAACAAATAACATACCTGAATCCAAACGCGTCTTCGTTAAAACTGAACAATCGCTCTGCATAACTGTAAAATTGTTAAAAAAAAATAAAAGCCAAGTTTAGATTATTATATTTATGTTACTCGTATGTATGGATGTATTAAAAATGTAAAATGATTAATGAAAGAGTTTCTTTACAAAGTGAATAGCAATACTTTAAACAACAATATAAAGTGTTAAAATAACTTTCGAAAAATTTACATATACATATTGTGCTACGCGAATAACATTTTTTCTAAATATAAGTATTATATTAATTACTAAATATACATACATACAAAAATTAAGCACAAATATAATAAATGGTGATCATTTTCATCATTTTCAAGAATAGAAACTATTAAATCTTACGCTGTATCTAAGCATTTTTAATTAATTTTCGCCGCTTACTTTTCTATTTTTGACATTTTTTTTTTTTAAGTAACGCTTCCTTTTCCAAGGATAAAGAATAACTCTTAAGTTATAGAAAGCTGGAAATAATTTAAAAGGAGAGCTCTTTTCAGATGAGGATAAGTTGAGCGAAGGCAGCATTATGTGCAGGCTGAGGAAGCAAAACAACAGGCTGCTGACCCAGAACTGGCGTGTACTTGGCGAAAAGGTGGGGTCAAGAAGTAAATTCTTGACGGTGGCCGTAGATGAAGTTTCGGCTGGAGTTCTTGAGCGGATGGACTCAGAGATAGAAATGAGCCGAGCTGCCGAGAATGGAGGGAAAAACGACGAAAAAGGCGTCCTATTACCTCCTCAACAGTTTTTTCTCGTGGCGGAAATGACGATAGGAGAGAGATTATTAGGATACGGCTAGAAGGAAGGTAGGAACTTTCTTCTAGGAGACGAAGGAAGGACGTGAGACGCTCAAACCAATGAAGGTATTTTGAGGGGAATGTGGATTGTCTTCCTGTATGTCTAGAACGGTTGGGGGAATCTGCTGGGCGGGATGAAAAGCAGGTGTGGATTAGTTGTGATGGTAATGCGCATCATACTGTCTGGGTGAGCACGGATACAAATACTACAGGCGAGTCTTTACTTGTTTTCCTTATTAGTAGTAATCTTGGTGTGGCAAACGTAGATAAAAGGCCTATATTTGTAAAAGGATTAGGGAAGAAGTATTGAACCTTACATTGGTCTCGCCCTTTCTGGGTGATAAGATAGTAGACTGGCGTGTTCCTATTAAGCCATTCTTATTGGATCACAGCACATTGAATTCCAGAAACCCGCTGGCGATCAGCTGCCGGCCAGCTATCGAGTCAAGAAAAGTACGGACTGGACTGCTTATAGAGGGGACCCAAAAAAACGTCGGGGCTCGATGGTGGCGGAGGTCAGGACTGTTGGTGATCTGGAACTCGTTGCACAGCAGTTGTGTGGGGCGGTGATAGGCTCCTTTGAGTGCAGTTGTCCTCTATGGACAAGGTTCAGCAACAGGAAAGTTCCATGATGGAATGATCGTCTGTCTGACCTAAGGAAGAGGTTCAGACTACTATTTAATAGGACAAAAATGAGAGATATAATTGAGAGATAAGGCGCTCCAAGAGGGCTTCCTGCAAGTCCTTCTGTATGGGCATTGAAGAGTTGCCTACGGCTGCAAGAATTCATCGGATTATTTCTAAAGAATCTAGCAGTATCGTGGGGCTTTTATGAAGCCAGATGGGGGTGTACACTGAGATCAGGGAGGAAATGCTTCTGCTCTTGTTTGAGGTACACTTCCTCGGCTCGGAGGTACACTTCCTTTCCTGGTGGGGGCTGCTTTGGGGTCCAATTGGCTACACATGGCCACAGGAGACCAGTGAAACAGGACTGGGCGCTAATCAATAAAATTGTCAGCTACGAGAGAGTTAGGTGGGCCGTATGTTCGCTCAAACCTTAGCCTGGCGGGGCGGGATCTTTCCTGCCTTGCTGTAGCAAGGCAGGGACTAAGGTCAGTCTTGCTGGTTACTTTTGTTCTCAAGGCCGGTAGCGGGATGACCAGTCATCAAAAATCAAAGAGGCCGATCACTCTGTCATCATTTGTCATTAAAGCGTTGGAAAAAATTGTGGCGATGTCTCTAATTGTGGACCCTCTTTTTATACATCAGTACGCCTATCAGGCTACTGATAAGGTCCACTGTAGTGGCTCTGCTGAACCTGACCTCTAAGATCGAGAAGTCCATGGAGCAAAAGGATATTGCCCTGATCGCTTTTATGGACATTGAGGGAGCTTTCAACAATACCTCATATGGATCAACTATGGTCGCCCTGAGACGGAGGGATGTTGAAGAACTGGTGTGTAAATAGATCTTGCACATTCTTGAGAGCAGAGCTGTGCAGGTGTCTCTCGGAGACATGCGAATTGTAGCTGGTACCTCCAGGGGTTGTGCTCAGAGGGGTCCTTTCGCCGCTTATCTTCAAATTTACAGAGGACTGCATGTCTGGGTATCACTGGTGCAATGGCAGCGACGGCTGCAATGAAGGTTTTGTTCTTGCTTCTATTGCATCTTGTGGTGGGAGCACGGACTAGTATGGCAGCACAGAGGATCGCTAGTCTTGATACTCAGAGATGTGACAACCGTAAGGGGGGCCTTGGTAGACTTTGGCTACCCCGGTTTGCCCTTGGACGAGTGCGAATTAAGAATCAATTTCGACAGGCCCTTCAGGGCTGTGCTTCCTAGTAGGGAAGGCTGGTTGAATCAGGGGTCTTTGGGTTGAGACCGAGCTTTAAGTTACGCAGAATCTTATGGTTGTCTCCAACGGTTTTCCAGACGGAGGTCTTTGCGTTGAACCTTTGTATACGTGAAAACATTCGCAGGGGAGATCAACACCATAAACATATTCTTAGATAATCATGCGGCGTTCCGGGCGCTTGACTCTTACAAGTCGAGTTTGGTATGAGAGTGTCTGCAGGCGCTAGTGGAACTTGGTAGAAGGAACAACGTTACTCTACCGTGGGTCTTGGTGAATGTGGACATTTATGGCAATAAGGAGGCGGACGCTCTTCTGAAGTTGGGAGCGATGATGGACTTTGTCGGACCTAAGCTTTTCTGTGGGCTATCTTATTGTCATATGAAGGGGCTTGGGGTGAAACGAATGGGCCGCCTCCAACAGGAGGGCTGGGATCGGGCGTCGGGAATGAAGCAGTCGAGGCTCTTTATTCTTGGTCCGTCTCCCGGAAGGGCCAATGAGCGGTTGGAATCTAGGAGGGGGAGGCCAGGTTGGAGGTGGGCTTCTTTCTCGTGGCACTGCAGGCTTGGCTATCATTTCCACAAGCTGGGACAACTTGTGGACCGTTTGTGCAGATTTCGCCATGATGAAGATGATGGCATAATCAGAGCACATTGTCTGCTTTTGTGAATCACTTGCCAGGAGGCGATTGGTTCACTTGGGTGGATATGTGGCGGCACCCTCGGATTTATGGAAGGTGGTGCTTGGGCGAATCTGTAATTTTGTGGGAGTTACAGGACTAACTGGTGCTTTATAGGTGGCGGGATGTTACAGTAAGTCTTTGAGGCTGCAGTGACCTGGTCTGAGGTTGACCTCTGCCAATCTACAATCTAATCTAACCGTTTGAAAGATTTCTATGCAATATAGTGCTTTTTTTATCATTGAAAGATTTTAAATTAGTTTTCAAATTACCTCTTAATATTTTTTGTGCGATTCTATTGTTCGATTTTGTGTCTTCCTGAGATAATCTGGCTGTAAACTAGACGGTTTCCATTAAAAATCGCTTTTTATTCTAGGTAAACATTACATATGCGAACTAGTTTATGATACCCGTAGGAACATATGTTCGAAGGGTATACTAAATTTGCCTTACCGTTTGTAACGCTAAGAAATAATAGTCTTACATATAGACCCAAGTGTATGTTTTTGATCAGCGTCGAACTCTGAGTCGATTTGGCTTTGTCCGTCTGTCCCAACGATAACTCAAAAACTAATCGCGCTAAATTCACCAAATTTTCACAAATGATTGATTATAGTAAATGCCAGACTCCAAATTTAAATTGGGTATGATCGAGGTACTGGTTCGGGTAGATGCAACACAACTCCAAAGTTTATTTGGCTATATCTCAGAAAATATAAAAGATGCAATATTGAAATTTCAAACAAGGAAATATATTAATAGGCCAATGAGTGTGATAAAAGTCGTTGAGATTGCTTGGCTCTTTCTGGTAGATGCCATACAACTTCAAAAGTTATTTGGCTATATCTCAAAAACTATAAAAGCTGTAACATTGAAATTTCACACAAGCAAATATATTATTAGGTCTAATGTGTTTGATAAAAGTCGTTGAAATTGCTTAGTTCCTTCTGGTAGCCGCCATACAACTTCACAAGTTATTTGGCTATGATTCAAAAACTATGAAAACTGTGATCACACAAACAAGTACGAGTATGTTCCCCTTTTAACAGCGTTTTTGGCATAGCATCACAAAGTTTCATGGTCTCATTTTATTCCCCATTTACTTGTGCCATTTTTTTAATACCATAATGTTACCTTAGTGCATCAAATTCTGAATGCTTTTTTCGTTTTCATATGAAAAAAATTCTTTTTATAGCATAGTTACAAACAAAAATTTTTATTAATGAATTCTATGTTGCTAGAGTATGTCTACATAGAATGCATAGATAGATTTACAAATATTTCAAACAAAATATTTTCTGTCACATATATATCAGCGCGAAATTTGAACTGAAAATTGAAATTAAAAATAAATTAATAAAGCGTCAAAGTAAGTGATGGGTTTGTTTAATTTATTACCAAATTAGTAATTACATATGTATGTATAAGTAAGTATTTACGCTTAAAATTTTAGCATATTAAAATGTGAAAAATGGGAAAAATTGTAAGAGGCCTAACAATTAGGAAAAAAATTGAAATTTTAAACAACAAAAACAAGTAAGCGTGAACTAATCAAAAAGTATAAATTTTAAAAAAAATGATAAAAAAATTCATGAAGTAGCTAAACATAACATTACTTGAGCAATATTGTGAAGATATTTTTAACCTGGATGAAACCGCTTTATTTTATAAATCCTTTCCAGATGGGACGTAAGAATGATTTATTTATTATATATGATGATTAACACGTAAGAATGATTTATCAAAAGTTTTTAGAATTCAAGAACACCGTATTACATTGTTGCTTATTTGTAATGCCAGCGGAAATTTTAAAAAAGCGATCGTCATTGGACCACAAAGAAACCCAAGATGTTTTGAAAACAAACCTTATTACCTTATTACAACAATGCAAATGCACGGATGAATTCTGTAATATGGAAAAGGTTTTAAAAGATCAAATATTCAAATGAAGTCGTAAAATTATTTTATTTGCAGATAATGCTATTAGTCATAAAGTATTATTTGCTTTACAAATATAGACTTGCAATTTTTACTTGCAAATGTTACCTCATTGTTTACCCCAGTACTTATAATTAAATTAGACTTATAAATAAATTAAATTAAAATAAGATCTTTTAAATCTCATTATCGCCAAAAAATAATAAGAAAACAATATTGACGGCTATCGAAAAAGAATTGACTCAAGGCAAGTTTGAAAAATCTACTAATATATTAGATGGATTTTAGTACATTAAGCGAGCTTGGTGGTTTGTTAAAAAAACTGCTATTGAAAACTATTTTAGAAAGGTAATATTTTCTTTCGGAAATATGTTCTATGTACATGTATATAAAAAATTATATATACATTTTTACGAAGATATAAGGACGAAATATAAGTAAATGGTGAAGCAAACTTTAAAAAATTTTAAATGTAACCAAAGAAAATTTTGAAAAGCTGTGACAATGATGTGCAATGTTAAGGTAACTCGAGTAATGAAGATATAGTTCACCAAGTTCACCAAGAAGAAACCGAAAATATAATCAGTGTCGATTTGAATAATGATGACTATGAATATAAACCTACAACTATCAAAGTAGCTTTGAATGCCATTAATGTTATCTGATTATTGGTGCAGTGGTTATGGCACCGGTCCTTTAACCGAAGGGTCTCGGGTTCAAACCCCGGTCAGGTCACTATAAAAATTATATTCAATATTATTATAACTTAATATACAATACGAGTACTAATAAATATTAAATATACAAGTAATTTTCAAATATTCGTAATATTCGATATTAAAAAACTAAGAAAAATAAACAGTAAATATTAATAACTTCAAATAATTAATCTACGCAAAACTACGGCAGGCTAGTCACCTACCTAGTTAAACTCTATGACGCTATGAAACAAGTGCATGAGAAATCATGGACTAGCCCTATGCTCCTTCTAGGAGTGAATAAGGACAAAAAAAAATGTATTTCAAAAATTTTCAAGAGAAAAATTGAGACCAAATGGCATCACACACATTGAGAATTTTGAGGAAAATGTCGCTGCTTCATGAAATTTTTTTTTCTTTTTTAATTTAAAATAAAAAAAAAATTTAAATTTTAAAATGGCAGATATTGAAGAGCGTTAAAGTAAGTTTTTTTTAATTCTTCAAATCTTGTTAAAATTTCCTATTTTTCAGTGAATTGCAAGGCGAAAAGTAGTAAGGAATATAATTTCATAAACAATGTTATTTATGTTATGTTCGAACGATAAATTATTTAGATGTTCCAGAATTTGTAGACTGCATAAACAAAAAAAGTTTGGCTAAAGTTTTTGCATACTGTTTAAAATTACAACTTAGAAATTTTAGTTCTAATGTAGAACTTTCAGCGCAGCGTAAATTTCCAAACACAGCTGTAGCCAGTAATTTTCGAACGATTTATATTTTCAGTGTTTGTAGCCTGAATTTTCGAACGTACTACAAACTGGAACTATTCTAGAACTGAATAAACAAAAACCCCCAGTGTTATTCTAATTCCGATTGTCTTAATTTTTTAAAAACTTAGAAATTGTTATTATTACATTTTATCTTTGGTTTAGATTATTTACTTTACGTAATTTTTACCTAAATTAAAACAACGATTTTTCTGGTTTTTTTGTAATGCCGAAAATGGCATACTGCTTTTTTACTATTAAGATTAACTTTTCAGTTTTCTATTCGAAATTAATTTTTTAAATTCGTTAATAATTATGGAAGTTATAGCCATTTAAGTCGATACAGCTTTTTGTCGAAATTAAAAATTATCAACTAGGATTTTAGGGGTTAAATATTGATTTGCGGCCCTTCCAGGAACAATTTTTTTCATAAAATTGCCTTACTTTTCTGTCCCCGATAGATTATATCACGTTATAGGTTCATCCTGTATATAAATATACCAATTATATTTTATATTGCTAAAATCGATTTTGTAAAATTCCTGTTGTCGTTCGGAATGTCATTAATTTTACTATTAGAATATGAATGATATTACAAATATATAATTTTTATTACAATATTGTAAATAGAAAGTTTGTAGACAAATTTTGGTTTAATAGTTTTTTTCGTATTTCAACAAATTTTTTTCCCCTTTCGAGTAATAGATTGTAGACCCTCTACGATAGGATCTATTGTCCTTCCAGACTAAGTATTAGATATGATCCACAGGACTCACCCTAGACTTTTGTTATCAACAAACTCGAGGTAAAAGTGGGCCAAATATGTGAACTCCTATAGCGCTAAGATGAAGGTATACAATTCTCCTGTATTTTAAAGTTCACGATTTCAGCAGATACTGCATCCAAGTCCCCTATTCTTCCTCACAGATTCTACAGTTGGTGTTGCCCTTCAGACATTTATTTTCTCAGATACTACTAAGCGGACAATACCCGGCCAGAAACCTACAGACCAGATCAAAATATTTTTTCATTTCGTAAATTTATTGGAAAAACATTATAAGCAAAACTCCTTTTAAAATTGTACCATAAATTATTGTTTTTACTACGAGTGCGATATTTTACTATTATAATGTTTAAATTGAAATTCATCATAATTATTTCTCAAGGATAACCTAATTATAAATGTCCAGGTCTACAGACAATACTAAATTAATCACATTGCCCAAGAGTACACTACATTTTTTAGCAAATACATACATATATGAAAAATATTCAAAACTTTTTTAAAAGTAGGTTATTTAAAATACGTATACACATGTAAATGATAAAAAGCAATTTAAAGTTTACCTCTTTATTTTCAGTTCCCCGACTAGTTTAACGGAAGATAAAACAATAGGAGAATCTGAAACGATTGAAGATTTAGGAACAGCTAGTAAAATTAGATTATTTGGATTAAGAGCTAAGTGTTGTAGATAATTGCTAACGCACGGACATTAAAAAAAATTTCATTTACATAAGACCATATGGACACGTGTGATCAGACTTACATAACCATGTATTAATCTGTAACATTTTATTATAATGTATATAAAATATGTATAGAAGAAAACAATAATAATATAAGTACTTAATTTTCAATTATATAAATATGTACTGTTTTTTTTCAAAATATACATTTTTTATTTTTTTTAAGGATGTACTTGTATATTCTTGTACGCTTGTATGTGTATATCCATGTTTCCATTGCAGTTGTGTTCTTCTTTCTTCTTTTTAGCTTCTTCACTACGTTTTCCACATAAAAAATTCGCAGCTTATCTTATCTGAAATATCTGTTAAATTTTTTAAACCACAATTTGGTAGAAGCGAAAAACTTATATCTAAGTTTTCTTTGGCTATGTTATGGATTAGTCAATATTTGGGGAGGACAGATCCCGGGACTACAACCGACTTTGCATTTTGGATAACCTTCAAGAAAATATTCAACAGATTCACTTGAAATTTTATGTATGTGTAAGCTTCATTTGACAGTACGACAAGTCACCAAACTTTTTAATGAAATCGAATATCAAAAACTGACGAGCTTTCAGGGAATTAGAATGGCATAAAGTGAAACTCTTCTAAGGCCAAATTTACATTTTGCTAGGTATGTCAACTAAGATATTACAAGAGTCTTAAAATTTGGAGCAAATATTTAAACGGCAATGTCATACAATTTGCTATTACTTGTCTTTGACACAATACACTTTGCGGTCGGTCATGTGCTGGTCATATCAGATAGTTCTTCAAATTTAAGTTGTTTACTTCATATACGACAGCATTAATACAAAGCAGACAAAAATTTTCCCATCTTGGTATTTACACAAAAGACATTGCATTGTCTTTACACTACACAAATACAATACAATATGTGCAGAATTGAGTACAAAAATTTTTTTCTTTTTTTTCCTTGTTCTGCATGCTATTTTTTCCTCGCTTTTTTTTTGTATGTTATTTCTTCTACAAGCGTTGGAGATCTTACTTTGGCTAAAACCTAATTTTAAATTCAAACACATAAAATACGATCTAGTATTTTAATACATTTGTGGTAATAAAGCAGTATTCAAAAATAAAATGGTGAAAATGAAACATACGAGTATTATAAAGTGATGATAGCTTAGAAAAAACTTTTGTTGTGAATCAACGTGGCAGGGAGCTGTTTTTTTTATTTCATATAGTATTTATGTAAGCTTTCAATAAAAAGTTTTTTAACGAACTTCTTAAATTTTTAGAATCAAGAGTTAATTTTAATTACATATTTTCATGAACATTCATGTTTTATACTTTTTTAAGCAAAATATTAAAGTAAAATAGAGCAATTTACGGTCAGTAAATTCGTTTACGGTTTCCTTTAATTCCAATGTAAAACACGGCAAGCGGTGATTTTTTAATAATCAAGCATTTTTGGATTTCTAAATGTTTATTAAAAATCAAGTACCATGATCCGAAAAGTAGTACAGCAAATATTTAGAGTATTAGAAGTAAAAAACATTTGTTAAATTCGTCATCCAATAGAAAATGCTCGAATAAGCAGGTAAGTGATGTATCCAGGAGCGTGATGAAACTGAAACGTTCTATATTTTTGTTTTTTTATATTATCCTTAAAAAAGTATTTTTTAATTAAGTAATACAGAAAAATAATGAAAAAACTTAAAATTAAAATGTTTAGTAAACAATAGTTATTTCATAACACCAACAATAAATGAAACGAAAAGTACAAAAACAACTATGTATATATGGACATATACGAGTAATGCCATATATGTATGCATATCTATTAGATCACTAAGCTTATGCTATTTTTTAAAATATTCGAATCGGAAAATATTACAAAAGCAATTCTTAATGTTTTCTGTTTTCGAATATTTTTTCAATATTTAGTATTGGAATATTTTTTTATTTTTATTTTTTAAAAGTTTTGAGTATTCTTTGTGACCCTCATTTCATTTAGTATGGTTTCAAAAGTGATTTAGATTCCAAATTATGATAGTTTATTTTTAAATTTAATTTCTTATTCAAAAACTTTACTTTTTAATTCAGTACCCTTCCATTTGGAGGAATTCACGCTAAAAATTGCATTTTTCAGATGAAATTTTCCATTCGATTTTTTCGAAATTTAAAATTTAAAATTTAAAAAAATATGTACAATCAGTAAGCTTATCAATTTAATATTGATCAAATTCCTTCGCACAAATAATTTCCGACAGCCCTTCCGTTTAAACTTCATGTAAATTTGGAATTTATTTTTATAGAAATACATATATGGCATTGCTTGATTATGTAAATTTCATAATGTACAGTTTAATTTTTTTATTAGCACTTTTTCAAAAAAATTTTGAAAAAAAGTGCTGATTAGTTTCACTCTGTCCGTTCATCCTTCCGTATGTCTGTCCGTGGATATGTTTACAAAACTTCTATACTCTTGAAGATAAAAAGCTTAAATTTTATATGTACATAGATCTTTATTAGAAACTTATTTCTGTATAAGAAAAGTTTCCTATCTCCCCCGCCCCTCCCTTAAAAGTTACGCCTCCCTAAAACCCTAAAAATGCCATTTTTTACCTATTTATTGCAAAGAAACCATAATCATTTTTCAAATTTGGCAAACGCAGAAATATGGTGGAGGGCTTCTTCTATAGCTGAATACTATAATTAAACTTAAAAAAACAAAATGGTCGTTAAAATTTACCGTCATCTAAAACCCGTTTTTCCGTTTTTGATGCCGTTTTCTTCTAGACTCTAGATTGTAAAAGTCTGAAATTTAAACAGCTTTTAGATACTAATAAATTAAAGTTCATTGCGTTAGAAAAACATTTTTTTCTATCGCCACCCCCTCTCAAGTTATAACGTCACGAAATTTGTAAAATTTGAATTTTTGGCAGCTTATATATCCGAAATCACAAGTTTCTTCAAATTTCTTTAAACTGAGAAAGCTAACGGAAAATTCCATGCAATTAAAAAATATAATTATTTTTCTTAACTCACACAATTAACCCTTAAAATTGAGTTTTATGTTAAACCCTCTTTAAAATTTTTTTTGCTTTATTTCAAAAACTGCATAAATCGTTCATCATAAATATATGCAATCCTAGAACTAGTTTCATATATGAATGAAAATAATATTAATTGTGCAGTAGATATATGTTTTATAACAAGCATTGTTTTTAAAAGCAGTATTTTCACATGCTGAAGGGGAAAGTGCTACAATACAAACCATTGGTTTGACCCTACTTTATTAATAACTTGCTTAACGAAAATTTTGCTATTAAGTTTTTATTAAATTTATATGAGGTTATGATTATATTATGTAGTATGAATTCGGTATTAAATATGCAATTTATTGAGTGTAGCAAATTAAGTTTATTTATCATAAGACATTATGTAATTTAAGCTGACATTTTTTTCTATATATCTTGATTTAAGATAATGTAGTTTAATAAAATAATTGTCTATTATTGTTGATTCTTAAAATTATTCTGTATTATTAACTGTATTATTAACTTACAAGTAAAATCTTGTTATTTTTCTTCAAAATTTGTGATGGATTTCTCAAGATATCTTTTCATTCAATTAAAGTCTCAGATTTTTTAGTTTGGCTTCCTATTTCTGCCAGTTATGCTCATTCTCGTTTTTCAATTTTTTCGACTTAATCGATTTTATATTATATTTCTTCTTATAAAAGAAGTAATTTCATTAGAAGAAACTTTTTCCTACCTCCACCCCTCTCAAAATATCAGCTCCCGAAATTTGTAAAATTTGAATTTTTGGTACCTTACATTTGAGAAACCGCAAGCTTTTCTAAATTTCTATAAACGCAGAAACTAACGGTAAATTCCATACCATTAAAAAATGTAATTATTTTTCTTAATTCACGCAATTAACCCTTAAAGTCGAGTATGGTAACGCCTCCTTAAATATATTTTTGCTTCATTTCAAGCACTACATAAATAGTTCTACCTAAATATATTCAATCCTTGAAAAAGTTTCGTGTTTGAATGAAAATAATTTTAATAGTGTAGGTATTTTGACTTTTTGAAAAGAAAAGTGCTACAATACAAACCATTGGTTTGACCCAACTTTATTATTCAATCAAGCAATTAAAAAATTTTGCAAAATTTTTGTTGAGCCAATTATAAAACAACTAATAATGTCTACAACTAAATAAACCACTTTTTAAAAGGTAGAAAATAAACCTAAAAAGTGTCTGGCGCAATAAGGTCCTGAACTATATCATATAAAATTATTCATTAAAATTCGTTTTTTTTTATTTTTTGAAACTGACAAGGACAAGTCAAATGCGTTTGCGGATCATTTATCCGATATATTCTATCCGCATGGAGTGTATAAAAATGAGGAATCTGCTTTTGTTGAGGATAGCGTGACTATTCCAATTGTCAAGGAAAGGGATGTTATAGAGGAAATCAAGACCCTTAAACCTTAAAAGGTATAAGTTTAAATTACGTGCCTGACATTTGGACACCTGGCAAACCTATACACAGGGCGACTTCTTACAGACCAATCTCATTGTTGCCGATGATTTCAAAACTGCTAGAGAAACTTTTAGTGAGGAGACTTCAGCCTTTAATTGTAATTGGTTTTCGCCGGAACCACTCAATTATAGATCAGATTCATAGAATAACTGACCTAATAGAAAATTCACTGGAAGAAAACAGTATGTTCTATCATATTTTCGGAAGTAGCCCAGGCCTTCGATAAGGTTTAACATTGTGGATTAATAAAAAAACTTAGGCAATTAGTACCAAGGCAGTATGTTAATCTGCTCAAATCTTACCTGACTAATAGGGTATTTCGAGTTAAACAGGAAGAGGAGCACTCTTCGCTTAGGGATATTAGGTCGGGGGTACC